GTGACATCATTCACATCAAAGCGGGCATCGTGGCTCGCCCAGGATGGCAATGGCAAACCGTCACCCGCTCCGGGGACTCTGTTCGGTGCCAGCCTCGGAAACATATATTTTTTCATTATTATTTTTGAGCTGTTATCGTCATGTTATAAAGCCTGACGCATTGTATGATTTCAATGCAGATTTCAACGCAGTAACGTTGATATAATAGGACTTCACCTGAGGAACCTTCAGTTACTTAAACGGCTGAAAGGATTGCAAATAAAAAGAGAAAAGCAAAAGTTCTTTCGCAATTCGTTGCCACGCAGGAGGGAGGTGTTGCAAGCATAAAACGGTTTAACTTTTCATCCAAAGTGGAGTATAAGATAAAAAAGAACGAACCACTGCAATTCACATCAAAGGATTAGTTATATAATGATACTTTCCATCTTGAACTAATTACTTAATATTAAGATCTCCGTTGTATTGTTACTTAATGTGAGCGTGTGTTTATAGCACTGGAATTTTTTTTAAAGGCCCCTTTATGTCCCCACAAGGCAGCCTAAAATCAGAATATAAATCGCCAGAAGACCCAGGAAGAGTCATTAAAGGCAAATGACCATAGAGCATCCATGAGTGTCTGCAGGGGGGTCAAAAAAGTCAAGATGGAAGCCAGAGCCATGTGGCTGAGGTTCCCCCTATTTTCCCACAAGTAAAAATCGGGGAGCAGAGCTTCAATGGCATGGGTGTGAGCACCATCTTGGTTTTTGGGATTCCCCCTCCCTGCAGATTTGTTCAACTTGCAGCCCTTCCAAGCTGTCCCCTTCCCCTTCTAGCCTCCAGCCTGAAGATTTCCTGGTGGCGTCTCATCCATGTACCCCTCCAGATCTTATCCTTCCCTCCCCCCCCCAGCAAGGATCTCTGAGAATACATAAAATAGGGCCAACCCATATCTCCTGCCACCTGTAGCTCCAGAACTAGAACTCCCAGCAGCCTCCAGCCAGCCTGGCTAAGGGTGAGGCATGCTGGGAACTGTAGTTCCGTAGCCGCTGGTGGGGCCCGGCCGGCTCACCGTCGCGGCAGAAGCCGAGCGACTCCAGCG